GCCACGACCCCAGCCACGACTCCCGAAAACGGTAGGATGGATAATAATGCAATCGACAATGCGCAAAAATAGAACAATCATTATGACGCAAAGCAAACATTCCATTGCGTTGTCTTACAAGAGCCGTGTGTTTTGTTTTGACCGATTGCAGAGGGAGGAGGCCGAGGCCAAAGCACGCGAAGAAGCCGAGCAGCAGCGCGTCGAGAGGGAAAAACACTTCCAAAAAGAAGAGCAGGAGCGACTGGAGAGAAAGAAGGTGCGCAGAAGCATTTCCTTAAAAGTCCATCCTCGTCCTTTCATCTTGACGAAACCACAGCTAAGATTTTTTGTTTTTGTTTTTTTCTGTGTGTGCAGCGCCTCGAGGAGATCATGAAAAGGACTCGCAAGAGTGATGCTGGAGAAAAAGTTTGTGATTTTAAAAAAACTCCCCCCAACCCCACCACCCCCCAAATAAAATTTGCTGTCATTTTGTCTTGCCACAATAACACATTTGGGTTCTGTACAGAAGGATGTGAAGGCGTCTCCGCAGGTGAATGGAAAGGACACAGACCTCAGTAAAGGTAACTGACATCTTGGATGCATTTGGAACGTTGCAGCCAGTCTCCAATCCGTAATTATTATATCGGTCGGCACTTACAATCAAGTGGACTTCATAGTTCACTTCTCATTGAAATGAATAATAGTTTGCAAACATTATTTTTTGGCATGCCGTTAACAGCACTAGAAAATGGCAAACTAACAAAACTAAACGATAGCTTTCATGATTTTATTTTATTTTTTAATGTCTGAGTTTGTTTCACAATCCTCTCTTTTTTTCTTTTTTTGTTTTTTTTGTTTTGTGACAGACAAAAACTTGGTGAGCCCCCCTGCGAGCGCATCCGGTCCCGTCGCGAACGGCGTGCAGTCTGACGGTCACCAGAACGGCGTGTCGGCCAACGGCGAGTTTGATCAGATCATGCAGCTGAACAGTAGCGCTAACCCGGCTGCTCCCCAGAGTGGACTGGTCACGGGAGGGGAGCCCTTCCTGATGAAAACGGGCCCCATGAAACCTCAGCACGTAGCAGGTACGCAAATCCACGGTGATAGGGACAAAAACATTCCATGAGTCAATGCTAGAAGAACCTTTGGCCGTCAAGGAAACTTATATTTGTATATTTGTTTTGTCTTCAAATACATTGATCAGATATATTTTTTTTAAATGTGTTGTCATGAGTTTAATGAAGTCGGTTTTAATGAGGTCAAATGTGTTTAAAGTGTGGAGCAAATGTAAAACAAACAAAAAAAATTAACCTGTTTTCTTTCTCTCTGCATCGTGTGTCTCTTCTCTTTTGCAGAGGTCCTGTGAGTCTTTCATCAATCCATTCGTGGACATGCGCCTTACGTCTCCGCTTCAGCATAGAGATTCATGCCACACCACAACAGCTTAGAAAGTTTAAAAAAAAAAAAGAAAAAATAGTGTGCCAAACAAATGACACCCCCGTGCTGACTCCATGACAACTTGTAGGATCTGATACAGGAGGACAAAGGAGGAGAGAAACATCCCAAAAATGGGGGGCAGGGTCAGGGGGAATCATTCAGTATTCTCTGTCTTCAACATGTGGTCTGGTGCAAGTTTTTTTGAAATGTCACATGCAAATTTTACGGTGCACCTTAAAGATGACTGAATTTTTGGAAAAATACAGTATAAGACCCCAGGGGGAGGAAAAAAAAAACAGATATCCAGTTTGACAATGGTTGTTATTATTACGCCCATTCTGATATTGTTAAGTTGAACAATGTGTGTTTGTTGTTGTTGTTGTTTTTTTTTTTTTTTTGTCTTGAAATGTTGAGTTATTTAACATGAGGAGCAGACAGTGTATGTAAATGTATAATGAGCCTGGCTGCCTATAGGCCTCCTGTCGCAGGGGATCTGTGAAATAAAGCTTTATGAAAGGGAAGCAATGCCTCTGCATTTTTCTTCCTTTTGGCCAAGTAAACTCAGCGGCAGATTCGGTGTCATATATTGAGAAACAGGAGTCGTGGAGCTGAGGATCGAACATTTCAGTACTGTACATCTTTTTTTTTTTTTTTTTGGATTGGATACAAATTTATTGTCAATTTTTTTAATAATAGTGTCATATGTTTGGATTCCAGTAGATGGAAGCACTGCCCTAACGTGGAGTCAGGTTCCCAATTGCAAGGTAATTGTAAATTACTGGTCTATATTTTGTTCATCAGGAAGGCTGGAGTTGAGATTCAAACCCAGAACCATGGAACTGTGACACAGATGTCCTCGCCGCTGGGTTCAACACCGTGCTGCCATACTGAGAGATATTTTTAAGACCCGTAAGGTATCTCAAATATTTTTAAAAACTGCAATGCCATACGACATGTGAAGACTGATCTTTTTTTTTTTTTCCAGCTCATTTCACTCTCGTGACACTGTGTACCTAATGTTATGTCCGACAAATCCTTTTTTTCTAGGTCTGGCTGTAGCTATACATCGCAGAGTGCTAAAAGCAGCTCACCCGCACGTCAAAGGTATGTCCATGAAATGTATAAACCCCTGTGGTCTCTTAATACGGTACATCTACCGCACAGCATACCAAATAACGAAAAAAAACCCTACACTGGGCCCGATTTCACGCTGACGATGCATTCCACCTGGCAATGAGCAATGAATGTGTTCTGAATCTCGATGCGTTTGCTCTGCTTTCGGTGACCACTCAAAAAATACATCGCCATCCAAAGGCGGTCTTGCATGCAAAGCCTCTCTCCTCTCTAGTCCTTTTCTGTTTTTTGTGCTCGGACCAAAGCAATTAAGGTGTTGGTTTGGCGCCATCTTGTGGTCAGTTAGTGTAAGAAACTTAAAATAAATGAAGACGCATCATTTGGACAGAACTAGTGCTCTGCAGCCACCTTGAGTAGAGTATGGCAATGCTGTACTGGACACAAAATGCGCTAGGCAACTACTGCAGCATCTAATTGCAAAAAAAAAAAAAAATGAAGAGCGTAATGCCAGATAGATCAGTCTTTGATCTGGGTAACGACGCTTGTGCCGGAACACATAAAAAAACATCACAAAACGGATGACGATATGTTTACATACTCAACTCATGGATTTGTTGCTCCCGATGCAGACAACTTTACTGGCATGGTGGTGTTTTCACCAAGGGGTTGTCACTCAGCTTCGTTGTCCAGTCCCAATTCCTTTTAGTGGACCTTCTTTTCCTTGTAAATGCAGATTCAGTTTTATCACGCCACTCTTTGTGTATGCACCGATACCTCTGGTACTTTTGATATTTGATTTTTTTTTTTTCCCTAAGTGTCAGTGGTTGGTGTTAGCAGCCTCCACGAGTATCCGATACCTTAAAATAAGGCCTTGTGAGCCCGATACCTACCAATACTGTACTTGGTATCGGTACTCCCCATCCCTTATTTTTACTGTCAATTATGTACACCGAGTGTCATTTACATCAACTTTTCCCACCCCGGCATTCCAGCAACCTGTTTTGCACTCGAAGTTAAATAATGTGCTGAACATGAAAACATTTGATTCTCACCTTCTGCGAAACAATATTGCGCTGTTTTACTCAATGTAACTTTGACAACGCTGAGAGTGGAATTTAGTCCTCCTTTTATATGAACTGACTTGACCTGACCTCCTCGATCGAAGTCGGTATCCACACCTCCGAGTGAGGCCGTAAACAGACCGCAATGGTGAGTGACAGACAAGGAGACATAAGTGGTCTGACAATGGAGCCAAAAGAGAGCTTATCACTGTTAATAATACCCGCGGTGTGTTCAAGTGTCAAACACCTGCGCCGCGAAGGAAAATGAGCGTTAATAAGAACTGCTTGCTTCTCCTGGTTGGAGGTCAACAAGAGCGACTCCATCACTGCATGCCCCACTAACTTGTCAAGTCTTTTGGACACACTCGACTTCTGTTGACACAATGGTGCTGATGGCATACTGAGTGAAAAGGAGAAAAATGTCATATACCCTTTTTTGTGTTATTTAGTATTATTATGAACAGTGTGAGCCAGTGGCGAGTCCATCTTCCATTTCGATTACGAGTTATTGCTTTTCGTCCACAGAAGCATCATAGGCTGCCTCTCGCTGTACTTGAACAGCTGAAATTTTTGGGATTTATCAAAAAGAGACATGTTATGTCTGGCAGGGGTGTGCTGTCATTTTAAATGACTCTGATCTCATAGCAAAGACATTGTAACGTATTATTAACAAGGCAGAGTCCTTTGAAATGGGTGTGGCAAAGTTGATATTTTCTATGCCACCCTTGGAAAGGTTGTCCATCTTTCCCTTCAGGCGGTGAATGCAACAACTGGGAAAGATAAGCATCCGAGCAAATAACTCAGGAGAGAGCAGACCTCCACTAAGGCTGAACCACTTAAACCTCTGTGCAGTTAAAATTGCCCCATTTAAAAATCATACTTAAAAAAAAAAATAGGATGAGGCTACTTTAGGTTTGTGGCATCAACAAAGTAAAATGAGACTCACTGCTTCTGGGCAGTGAAGAACGAGTGGGGCCCGAGTGATGATCTGAGTGAGTTGTCTCAATCGCCACAGGTGTTATGTGGAATAAGCTGGTAAAAATAGTCCACACATCTCATCTGCAACTTCACTGCGAAACAAACAACTCCACTGTCAGGTGGACGTGAATTGCGGTGGCAAGACGCGGTTGTGAAGCAAGGTTGTATTTTTTTTTAAAAAGTTTAAAAACAATATGAGTAAAATAAATAATTGTCCATATGCATTAAAGATTTTTTAAATTGTAATATTATTATAAATATTCAAATAATTATATTTTTTCAGTCACTGAAATAGCTCTTTCATTTATGATGAAATAAAAAAAAGAGCTAAGAATGAAAATAAACAATTGCTCAAATAATCCAAATTAAATTAATTATAAAGACTACAATTAAAAATGAAACTGAATCTTTATCTTATTATTAAAACAAAATCGACTTTTTGTTTCACAACTTGGTCAATTGGGCGTTGCTTCGTCAGAGAAATCTCGCGATATTTCGATCGTTAGGGTCGACCAGCTTGTCTGGAGACGGTAGCTGCTGAGAACGCTCGAATCCTCGACGCCATACACGAACTGCAATCGGATCGGAAAAACATGCTTTTACTTCACACATACATAACTTAAATTTGCTCGACAATCCCATCTTCTATTTAGGACGTGGAGGAATCGCCCCATTTGCGGGTTTTGTCCCGTAGCTGCTGCTAGCGTCGAGCTAGTTAGCTTCTTTGCTAAAAAAAATCCCTTTCGGAAAAATACAGGAAGCAGTGCTCGGACGAAGCGCGGCCTAAAAAGGTTTCGCTCTACGAACAGACTACGTTGATTATTCTCAAAAACCTACGCAGGTAATTGCACAGTTTCCATTTATCTTGTCGTGTTGTTAACGTTCCAAATACATGAGCTAAGTTAAGAGGTCCAAAATATTATGAACATTTTATTGTGACGACGTTCGTCTTTAATGGCAGCGCGTAACGTTGCAGTCGGGAGCGGTTTCGGTGATTGAATTAAAAACAAATCGCATTTGTGTCAACGTGTAGGTTGAAATGTGCATTATTTCGTCCCGATTTCAACTGCCTTCTTGTATATACATTGAGCATCAAGGGACACCTGTTTTTTTTTCTTGTAGGCTTTGCAGCACGTGTTCCCATTATGACAAATATAGCAGTGCTCAATTGATGCTACACGTGTGACACGTACATCGAGACGCTTTTTTGTTAAATGCACCGCGATCAGTTTCTCATTGGGATTTGATGTTTACTTAGCGTCCGATGACGCTTGCAGGACTGGTAAACGGATATCGAGTCATTGAAGCGGCTGCGTGGCTGTTTTAAGACCCTCGTGGGGGGGAAATTGTGTATTCAGATAAGACAATTCACATACTGTCCTCCTATAATGCCGAATGGCGAGTTGCAATTTGGTTGCATCCCTTAAAAGTGTGTGAAAGCCTCACCTTAATCATCCTATTTAAGAACATACAAGCTATCTGAAGAGCTTGGAGGGAGTGAAACCACAATTGCAACCGTGTGTGTGTGTGTGTGTGTGTGTGTAAATAATAAATGCGCTTGTTGCCCTCTGCCTAAAATGGCCTCTCAACTGTTTCATCAACTATGCAGCGATGCCTGCTAAAAGCCAGCATTGGGTAAGCGTAAGGGGTATTTTAAAACTAATTCGATGGGCTCTCTCGTCGATAAAAATGGGGTGAGCGTCATGGCAACTGGTGTGCAGGCCCATGGCGACCGTTTGTTGTGGACATTCCACCGCATCGAGTGCAAAGGCCATTTTGTCACAGTTCTGTCAAAGGGACTCTGCAACGAGACACAAATGTGATTTACTAGACATTCGTGATACGGTGCATGTGTGACGTTGCAGTTTTTGTGACCAAGTATGTGAACATACGTTTATATTTGACTTGGGAGGATCCACGTTTTTTTTTTTGCACCGATACAACAACGTCGTGATAATCAGCAGGACAAGCTTTGTGGTCGTTAGATTGATGAGAGACTCCAAATGAAATTCGAAGCTGTAAATTGTATCCAGTATCGTTCGAAGCGCAGCCTGCCAGCGATATAACCACTTGTGTGCTGCGCTCTGCGCACATTTGTGTGCACAGAAGCGCCCGCTCGATCTCATGCTCAAGGCGAATGTCCATATGTTTGCATGTTGCTCCAGCTGCTGCGGCATTTCTCCGTCCAGCCTGTTGGCCTTTATGAGTTCAGGTTTTCTTGACAGTTCAAGACCAAGTGTGTGCTTTGTGATCAATATTGAACGCGAAAGGTGTTTTTGTTTTTTGTCAGCAGCTCAGCAAAAGTGGAGCCGCGCAGGCCCGCTTTGAAAAAAAATGGGTCACTTCTGTATCTGTTGTTTGGAGTTCCTTTTGTTGCTCAACAATTTAACCTTCGCACTGGCTTGAGTGTTTGCCTCCCCGGGCGCGCATTTGCCAGGCAAATAGTCGGTGCGGCGTTGAGCAGCAGCTTACACGTTTTATCTGTTTTTGTTCTTTTTTTTTTTTCTTCCCAGGCAATTTAATCTGAAATAAGGGCTACTATGGCTCCGTACTCTCCCTCGCGCTCCAACTCCAGGTCAAAGTCCAGGTCTCGATCTTTATCGAGATCCCAGTCGAGAAGCCGCTCGCGCTCAAGATCCAGAAAACGTCGCTACAGGTAAATCCAGTCACACTTGAATGTAGCTCGTCTTTTTGATCTTTCTAAATATGACAAAAATTCGCTTTTTTTTTTTTTTTTGTCGTATTTGGTTCAGGTTGTCAGCTCTAGAAATGAATCACTCTTTCCATATTATTTGTTTGAATTATATGTTATATTTTTATATTATTTTGCATCCCGAATACTCTCCAGAGTGTTTCTGTTTCAAATTTGTGGTGGAGGTGCTACCGTTCAGATCATTTGCTCACGTGGATATGCGGCTTTCACTTTTTGGGATATTTGCATGTTTTTTTTTTTTTTTTTTCTTCAGTGTTTCGTTTTTCCTAAATCATGAATTTCAATAACAGAATTTCAGTTTCTGAGAGAGCGGCGTCCCGTTGGTGTCATTTTGCAATTGAAAGTGACAGCCAACTATTACCAATGCCGTGGCCGCTTGTAACCATATGAAGGTTTGCTGTCGCGTGAAGTCATTTGCATTCGCTCACTTAAGATCGCTCACCAAGTCCAACTTCAAAATAATCCTTTTATTTTAACCAGAGAATAGAATGGGTGTCAATCCCTCGGTGTGCTTTTATTTTGAAGTTGTTCCTGGACAGTTTCCTGGTGGCCTCGCGGCCGTCTTGACTCGTCTTCCCGACTGCTTTTGACAATTGAAATTCAAACTGCGCCCGTGTAATGAGGTTATACAACTGCAGACTTGGCTGATCTGGGGGAGAGGCCTTGGACAAGTCCAGCCTTTGCTTCACTGCCCATGCATAATCATTGACCTCATCTTCTCCCTCTTGTCCGAATGCAGCTCTAGGTCCCGATCCCGCTCTCGCTCCCGCACTCCCATGTCCTACCGAAACTATCCCTCCCGAGACTATCAGAACAACCGGGGCTACAACCGCGGCTACAACCGCGGCTATCGGAGGCCCTTCCACTTCCGTGGAAGAAATCGAGGCTACTACCCTCGCGGTCACTATCAGAACAGGGGAGGCGGCTATGGCTACAAGTCTAACTGGCAAGGTGGCGGCGGCGGCGGCGGCTGGCACGACCGCAAGCGTGACCAGGACAACCGCTCGCACAGCCCCCGCAGGGGGCGTTCCCGCTCCCACACGCCAAACAAGCGATCGGCCAGCCGCTCGCACTCCCGTCACTCGGACCGCTCGTCGTCCGAGCAGTCTCACCGTTCCAGGGCCTCCAGCTCCTCCCGGTCGCGCTCCTCCACGCCGTGCCCCCGCAACAAGGGCAAACCCAGCTCCAAGATCACGAAGGAGAAGCAAGGGGACGGCCAAGCGGAGAAGCCGGCGGGGGAAGGCAGCGTGATCGAGAAGGCCTCCGGAGGCAAATGGATCGACTACGACACGGGCCGAGTGGGCTCGGAGACGGCTCAGAAGGACGAAGCCGCGGTCGGCGACGCCACGCCCAAGTCGGGACAAACGGCCTCCTTCGGCGGCTTCGGCTTCTTCTCCAAGGAGGATGCCAAATCTGGAGAAAAGACGGTGATCTCGGCTGCCTTCAAAAAGTATGTCCGTTTCATCTTTGCTCCCAGCTCAATGGGATTCCTGCTCTTTCGTTCTTTTTTCAACAGCAAATTGTGCAAACGTGTCATTTTTCTTTCAAATATTTTAGCCTTTTTCCAAAGATCATTGGGATGAGTCATCAGTTTAAAATGGAATAGGACTCCTGATTTTAAGTATGACAATTGTCCTTTGGTGCGCACTGAGAGGAACTTTATTGAAATCCCCACGTACTTAGAAAGAAGCGCATTACGTGAGTATCAATGCTGTCTCACTGTCTGTACTATCTGCAGCGGGGAAGGTCTTCTGTCTCCCCTCACCCCCCCAACCCCCCCACCCCCAACACATACAATGTCTCTTTTGCTGCGATCTTGCTACGTTGCCTTCCTTTGCTTGTTTACAAAACCCCACATAGTCACTTCTGTTGTGCTTTGTAATGGCGCGTCAACCCTTGCAGACAATTTGGTTTGGCTTTCGGGCAACGTAAACCCAATGACACAGAATCATTTTCTTCCCGGCGGGGATTACGTTGCCGGTTTGTACGTTCTCTCTTTTTAACGGCGCCTCGTCTTTTGTTAGGTTCCTGGCGGAAAACAAAAGCAAAAAGCAGGCCGCCGAAAAGGAGGATGGTAACGATAGCGAGAAGAGCAGCGCTGAGAGAGAGCAAGAGAAGGGCATCAAGTCGGGCGACATCTTCAGCCTCTCCGTTCCTTTTAGCGACTCCAAGGATGACAAGACCATGCCGTTCTTCGACGAGGAGGAGGAGGAGTTCCTCAAGTCGCACGGCTTGAAAGACAGGGACGCCGACGAGGACGGTGCGGGCAAATCCAACCCGACCTCTCGCGATATATTCGGCAAGTGGGGCGACGAGCCCACCTATTCCACCTCCTACCCGTTGCCCAAGGAGAAAAGCCGCCGAGACGAGGACGCGGAGGCCCTGGATAAAATGGTGGAGGAGATGTACCAGAGCCGCAAGCACAGCAAGAAGGAGGAGAAGGCCAAGAAGAAGGAGAAGAAAGAGAAGGAGAAGGAGAAAGAGAAGAGCAAACGCAGCCCCTCCCCGGCCGTCACCTCCAAAGGCAAGGACAGGCCGCTCTTCCCCGGGGCCTTCCCTTGCGAGGATTCTCCCGTCCGTCTGGCGTCATCCAGAGAGGACTTTGAACTGAGAGTTTCGTCTTTGGATGACATGCCCAGGTATGCCCGTCCGATCCGCTCCCGTGCGGAAAATATAACGTCAACTATTTACACAAAAAGCAGCGGTGGTGTCACTTTAGTGAGAACCTTTCTGCCTTCCTCGTCCTTTCACGTTGCCCTCTCAGCTCCTCCATGTCTAAGAATCGATTCACGGCCAGAGATCTGGTGAATCCCTCGAAGAAAGACTCGGATTTCCGTTCAATCTTCCAGAATATTCAGTCCGCCCAGCTTCGCAGCAGCCCCACTGAGCTGTTTGCGCAACACGGCGTGTCCATTGTGCATTACATCAAAGGTACGAACGAGCCCACCGTTTCAGGCGTCCGTCGTGGCCGCTGCGGCGCCCGGTGCTGCGCTAATGGCTCTCTCCGTCTCGTTCTTTCGCTTTTGTTTTTAGCTCAGCACTTCACTTCCTCAGACATGTCTTTAAGTGAGCGCTTCGCCATGTACCAAAGAAAAGCTGCCGAGGTAGAAATGAAGCCAAGGAAGAGCCCCGAAATCCACAGGTGAGTGGGACGTATCGAACTCCTGACGCATTGAACGCGATGCCGCTCCTTTTTTTTTTTTTTTTTCTTTTTTGTTTCTTTCGAATAAAGTGAGCTGCTCTCTTCTCTCTTAGGAGAATCGATGTTTCCCCCAGTGCCTTTAAGAGGCACTCTCATCTGTTTGAGGATGTGGACGAGGCGAGTTTCAAGGTGACCTGTTGTTTCGACACTTGACCCGTTTTTCCACCGCCGAATTTTCCACGACCCAAAACCGGCAGTGCTCAGCTTTGTGCTTTTCTTTCAAAGGATGCATTTTTCTAAATCAAAAGAGCCCAATTGTGTTTTGTAAGTGCCAAGCAAGCCTGCGGCCTATGAGATATGGTTAATGATTGGGTATGTACCAACCCCCCTCCCAAGCAAAGGCTAAAAAGGAAGGGAGTTATGATCCTGAGTCCAAGCCTCTCATGGGACGATTATCAATGCCTTAACCTTGTAAGTATCTTTACCTGAAAAGAAACAAATGAAGCTACAAAAAAACGCTGTCATGTTGAATGATTCAGCTTTCGTGATACATACATACATGCATGCATGCTGCTGGTTGATATAAACTGACGTGTTGGAGCTTGTAACCGAAATGCACAGCAGTTCACACCATTTCACAGCCAGTACACATACAGTGCTTGGTCTCGGCCACTAGGGGGGGACACAACACCAAATCAACGTGAGCCGATTGGAGTTCACCTCACAAATGTATCACCGGCAACCGGGGGGGCTTGAGTCATGTTTCATAACGACCTGCGGGTCTCGACAGCCGCTGCTTGACTGACGGCCGAATGCGTTTTCGCCGCAGGATTCAAGCAAAAAGTTCAAAGGGGACACGATGGACCTTCGCCTGGACATTGAAAGGCGTAAGAGGTTTGCCGGGAAGGACTACAGGCGCGAGGCAGGCCGGAGCCCCGGAGGCTCCCAAGAGAGGTCCTCTGAGAAATCTGGCAAGCACCACAAGAAGTCCAAGTGAGTGGCGAATTCTTCGCCGGGGCCGCAAAAATCATCACCCCGAGCCTGCACGGGTTCTCGTCCTCGTTTGTGAAACGGACACTCCAAAAAGTCTCTCTCCTGCTCTCGCAGAAAAGGAAAGAAGAAGCGGGATCGCTCGCCGTCCTCGTCTTCGTCCTCGTCCTCGCCCTCGCCATCGCCTTTCCCCTCGGCCCCGCCGCCTTTCCGGGGCAAGGAGTACATGGGAGACGGGCCGGATCATTTTGAGGAGGGCTTCTCTCACACGCGCTACCCACCGCGCGACTACGGCGGTCACGGGGACCGCGGGCACCCCCGGGATTTTGAGGGCCAGCACATGGAGGGCCAGAGAGGCAGAGGCCGCGGATTCGTAAGTGATTGCGTGTTCTCGGCCCGTTTTTTTTTTCTCGCTCGGGTACTGACGTCTCAGAGGCTTGAATTTTCGGTCCGAAAGGAGTCGCGGTCGACTGCGCTTCTCTGCTCTAGTCCTACTTGGTAAAATGCTCAGGAACATTATGTGGATGATAACACTGACTCTCCATCCTACGTACTCCTTGCCCCTCATGGTTTTGACCAAGGTAACGTAGTGCAAATCTGTGGCCTCTCGCCTCTCTCTGACGTGGCCTTCGTCTGATTGCTGTTGTGTGTGACGGATAGCTCAGCCACTCGCGTCTGCTTTTTCTCTCGAGTGGAACGAAAGCAATTACAGCGGATGGTGGTCCAACCTGCTTCTTCCCATTTCAGTTCCCCAGAATGAGAGGGCGAGGATGGAACAGGGGCAATTACCCCGGCAACAACAGCAGCAATGGCAACCCCGCCAACATGAATCCTCAAGGGCGCCCCCCAGAGGAAGAGTGGGATCCCGAGTACACGCCCAAGAGCAGGAAGTATTACTTGGTGAGTCACGTTGACCTGTCGTGGCTTCTTGGCATCACAGGGCTGGGCAATTCCTCAAAATTCAAACGGGATTTTTGGCGAATGCTAAAGTCAATGTGAAATCCCTTTGACATGCTAACGGATCGTTAGCATTTAAAGTCCACGTGTGATGTTCGTTCAAAAAACTTTTCCTCGATTTGGGAACGCCGACAGAAACGTAATATAACAATACTCAAAGGCACACGGTCCTAATTTCTGAAAAAACAAGTTATATCGAGGGATCAATCACAACTTTCTTCTTTTACTCTTCTTATCTTACTGTGTATACTCTTTGCATGCACGGCACCACTCTGCCCCTCAGAGGCCAACGCGCGCACAGCAGGAACAGCCGGTATTTATTTTTTATTTATTCTTTATGATTGCTTTTAGTCTAGGACGTTCTGATTTGACTGAACTCATTTATTTTTCTGGTTGTTTTCATGACGTTTTCATATGTTGTGGCAAGAAATACGATAGCCGAGGTCCCAGGTTAGCTTGGAAAGACTTGTGAAATTAAAAATTGTAATAAATATGATAATGAGATGTAGGAGATGAAATGCAGGAGGCTTGAATTTCACATATTTCAGGGGTCATTTTGTCCTCGATAAAGAGCATAAAGAGCTCAAGAATGAAGTGTTCGACGTGCAGCGATGAATGGTTTTGAAATCGACGAATAATCGTTTTCATTCATCGTGATGACCAGTCAAAATAATTGTAATTCGTTTTTTCTGTTTTCGCCCAGCCCTAGTTGGTGTCTCAGATTTTTCTGTCACGTGACCAAATTCCAATTGTGCTTCCCACCCAAGACCCCTCCGGCTGCCCCCCAGAATTATCAAGTTTCATTTTGTCCCATTTCTAGCATGACGACCGCGACGGCGAGAAAACCTGGGTGGATAACCGCGGGCGGGGCCGGGGGTCCTTCATGCCCCGCCGGGGACGCTTCGTGTACCGCAAGGGAGGCAGCAGCCCCAAATGGGCCCACGACATGTTCCAGAATGCCGAGCAGCCCGAGATGGGAGACGAGAACATCGAGGCGGAGCATAAAGACGGGAAGAATGCCGACGAAGGCCTGAAACCGTAAACGGCCCCTTGGTGCGTCCACGAGTTGGCTCGCTTGTAGAATTCTTTTTTTTCTTCTTTTTTTTTTTTCTTCCCCTCCTCCTGTATCGATCCTCGCACCTCATTTAAAGCTCACGATAGCTCGAGTGAGGAAGTTGGTTTAAAGGTTTTTATGTCATCTGTCCGATGAATACATGGTTGACTGTTAAATCATACTGAGGCATCATCCATTGTTCAATAAACATGAGAAAAAAAATATATAAAAATATTTGTGCCTTAGATGATTTAAAAGAAAATACAGTTCCATGTAGAAGTGTTTTTGCGGTTTGAAGCGGAGGAAGACTTGCCCATTTTCTCGTACATTTTTTTTTTTTTAATTTTAAATTTTTTTTTTTTTTTTTTTTTTTTGGCCCGATGACATATTGATGTTAAAATTGCATGAACAGGTTAATGCTTCTCCCCACGGGACCAATCGATAATTAATCCTTGCCACCATTTGGATTTTTTTTCGCCCCTACCCCCCCAAAAAAATAGCACCAGTTCATCTGTGATTATCAGCAACATACGTGTTTTCATGTAAAAGGTCCACCGGGAAATAACTTGCTTTTGCTTTCGGAGAAAAAAAAAATAATAATGTATACTAGCTACGTAGGTTTACATGTGTCTCTGGTCGTTTGAACGAAGTGGATCCGTTTTTCTGATTTGTAGTTTTGATTGGCAAACAAAGTTGCGTTACTGTGTACCCAGTTACAAACTCGAAATTGTTGTGAACTTTTGCGGTCAGCAAGATAAGATGATCAATCATTTTAAGTGTCAGTTTCAACTCGTCCTAAAAGCGGACGTGAAAAAGAAGAGGCGAGATGTTTTAAGAACTACTTTCGAGCTGATTGTCCGTATTGCATGTACACGACGCAACGGTGTGATTGCGGTTCTTTCTTTTTGTTTGTTTTCTGAGTAGTAGGAAGCTGACAACTTTTATATTGTTTGAAGAGCTGTCATGTTTTGTCTTTTAATTTTCAATAAATGTCATTTTCTTTGATTTAGGAAACTGGTTGTAAGAGTTATGTTTGGGACAAAGATGAGAAAAATTAAATATTCAGCTCACGTTGGGTCAAGTGTCTAATCACATCCTATATGTAAGATGGATATTAAAAATGGGCAAAAATATACACAACATATGTTACAAATTCAAACTTTGTCCACCAACCGCCCCAAACGCCCAAATCAAGTTTGCAGAGAAACATAGAATCCATTCTTTTAAAATATGTTTCATCATCATTTCCCCTTCACTAAGCGCTCACAGTCACACAAAACACATTAACCAATCAATTGTCAGAAAGCACCACGAGTGCTTCATTTTTTGCGGTGTTTTCTGTCCACATGACAATCGCTCCTTTACTTCAGCCTCTGGTAGTCAAAACATGACAACCAGGCGCCTCACTTACTTGCATAATGAACCTTTTTATGGCGAGGTGCTTGGAGGGAACCAACAGAAAATCGACTCCCCTCTCCAGACTTTGCTCGGATCCACTCTGGGAAGCTCAACACATGGACAGTATGAGTAAACTAAATGGCCCTTTCATAGAGCAAAACAGACGTGTCTTTACTAGAGAGCCACGTTGTTGGGAGGCTGCTGGGAATTGTGTGGAAAGAGAAACACAAGAGTGTCAGTGACACCAGTCGGTGGGAACGTTGGGAAAACATGGCAGGAAGTTTCTGCTGTGAGAAACATACCCGGAAAGTGACCGTTGAATTTATTTTGCCGGGTGGTCAGAGGCCCACAGATAATTGTTCCTTTTTTTTATTATTTTTTTTTATCCTTGATTCACAGTAAAAAAAAAGGTATTTTAGGATTCATTTCCGTTTTCGATGCCAAGCTAAATGTATTTCAAACCACGGATCTGAATGTCCATTTCAAATTTTGGCGTGTGTTTCTTTAGCAGAACAGAAACGAAAATCACAAACCAATTTAAGCTACGCAGCAACGATAAGCACTCCCAAAATGTGCCAAATGGCCCAACAACAACGAGAAAGAAATTCGACCTGACAAGGAAGGACGTCAATAAACGTACAAACAAAACATTGCTTTATTATTTTGCAACAATGATTTATGTCGGTGTCGCACAATGGCCCGTGGAAAATAAAACCGCGAAAGTGTTTATTTTAAAACGGAATTATCGTCCCTACGGAACGAAAGCGCGTAGCAAAAAAAAAAAAAATGTCGCAACGTGTGTATATAAAACTGTCAATTGACTTCATTTTACACACGTTCTAATAATTTTATTCAGTCAAGACAGAGATTGCTTTGTATGGAGAAACATCGACAAAAACACTTCCATGACTGTCTTTTTATTTCTAAAATGTGATCGCGATAACAATTGTATGCAAACTATTCTCGTTGATTCAACAGATTATGGGAAATACACTTTTTAATGGTTTCTATAAAGTACTTGCGTCTGACCAATCATCAAATGTAAAATGAACCAACCAAGTAAATACGAAGTCATCAGTCTGTTTCTGAAAGTATTTGCGCCCCCACCCCCCACCGCCCCCAAAGTGACAATGGGGCTAATTTACATAACCCAACCCATGGCGGAGTATTCCCGCCCATGACGTGATAGATAATCTTGGCGAAGATCCAAATCCATTTTCAAATGACGACACTTGAGATACCTTTGATTGCAGAAATATGGACATCTTCCACAGGTGTGACATCGCTGCTCATTAAACTCGAGACAAAAGGTAAGCGGAGCTGCGCTGAGTTTGAAGGATGCGCAGATTTGCGTTAGATAAGTGTGACTTGTTCGTGCGAGTTTGTTGGAGGAAGTTTGTGTTCGGTGATATGCCCGTGTGCCACATACACACAGCGTAGTTTATGAATGTACTACAATTATTGATTTTCGGGGTGTTTTGAGAGTATCTCACAGATGTGTTGAAATTGAAAGAAAAATGCCTATTATACCCCTTTTGAAAATACATGATAAAGTGTTGTCCACATCTGCAGTTCAAATGTTTGGCCGCAGCCGTTTGGGACCTTAGTGGTAATGGACCCGTCCGATAGTACCGGTCCCAGTGACGAGGATGTCGGGCTGTCCGTTCCTCCATATCTCCCTGACAATGCGCTCCCTCTCCTCCAGACGTCGGGCCTTTTCCAGCTCTTCGACCGAGGCGAAGACGTCGACGCTCTTCAGCGTGCCGTCGGACTGCCTGCTTCGGTCGTCCGTCTGGACCAGAGTCATTTTATGGCTCCCTTCCACTTCCTCTTCCTCCGCTATGCTCTCATCCTCCTCCGCCTCCTCCTCTTCCTCGCTGGACTCCTTAAGCTGCCTCCTCTCGGGGGACGGAGCAGGCCTGGCGACGCGGCGGCGTGACCTGCAGGTGATGCCGGCCACCAGGAGGCAAAGTGCCATGAGCAGGCCGAAACAAACGCCCATCATGAAATAGAGGGCGAAGCTCTCCGGGTTGGCTGGATGGACAAACATAATGAATAACCATCTTTTTTTTTTTTTCAGCATCTGTGTGTTGCCGGAGTCAACCGAATCAGCCACAGGCCTTCAGAATCAGCTCGATTGAACTGTTTGATAACAAAATTGATTTTCTTTAGTATCGCTATTGATGGTTTCTAAAATGTTTTGGTTGTTTTTTTTTTGTCTCGTGTTCCGTTTTCATGTGCTGTCATACTCATGAGTTTTTTTCCATTTCCACCTGTTCTCATCAGCCCGGTCTCGTGTGTCAACCAATCAGCTGGCTCAACCACTTTTCCAGGTGTGGCTTATTTTCTGTCAGTCTGTGTCGGTTTGTCGTTCCTCCATGTTGGTGTCGCTGGTCATGTCACCGTTGTCACTTCATTGTTCCTGTAGTGGTGTTTTGGTTTCCTTTTTGTTTGGTTAGAATGTATCAGTTATTTTTAATGACAACGTTCCTTGTAGTCCCCCGCCCCCTTTTTTTAAACTCCCTGCTTCCCTGTACTTGGATCCTCCAGCCTTTTCACATGAAAACCCTCAACTTGGACACCATCTCAGGTCATGCCGACACTTTCACAGTCATTGCTGGATTTATTTGTTTCACAGGCTAGAGTACAGTCGTGAATAGAGTAGCTTTCGGTTTCAAAAAGGCCGTCGCCAGCCTGCATCGTGGGGATCCGTGTGGAACATTATTTGACGTTACCTTTTATGTGCGCGTATGTTGCCATGCTGTTGCTGAGCAGCTCCATGTCTTTCCTAATAGGCTCCATTCTCATTTAACAGCTGCTTGAAGTTTCTAGCATCTCCACGATCTTTGCTTTTTATTAGGCGCTGAACTCCGGGAACCCTGTGCTCCTGTCGGATAAAATCACATGCAAAGAGTTAGACGCTCATTCTCTTTGAAAAACTTTTAAACCGGGGGCGTAGACATTCTGGCCAGCACTGGGGACCAAAAACATTGTGTTTATCTTCGGCCTCGAGCAGCGACATGGGGCTTAACTAATGAGGGATGTTTATATTTTTGACATCACCGCCCGGGGGGACTCATTTCCATTTTCCGGTGTCAAACAGCTACGCTTTGGCTCTTGTTTCACACAGTAACGGTGACGGCTAGCCCAATGTTTTTAATATATATATCTCCAAAAACAGTGGTTAGGGATTTTAGCTGCTGTCTGAGACTTTTTCCCAGCGACCACTTTTTGCCCCAAATGGGGGGGGAATTATGTAAATAGCACCATCACTCAACGGTCCCACGGTTCCAGTTAAGTTTAATGTAAACACGAGGGCTGGTTTCCCAGCCCCTCACAATGCCCACATCATTAAAATAACAGAGTACATGGGAGCCAAAACGTTTTCCCTCTTGGGTTTTCTTGCTACGGAGAACAAAATTCGACCCTTGTTCCAGTTGCTGCCATCAGCTAGCTTGACTCACTCACCCACCCTGATCTTTATCCTCATGATTCTTGGCAGACCCCCACAAAACCTTTCCCTGATTATAGTGTTCTGGCATTATCACAATAATTGTTGGTCAACAACGTTCTTGAAACCTTCATTTAACCCAATACCCTAATTCATGGTTACAAAGTGTTTTTTAGATAACTTTAAAGGTGGGCAAAGCTAAGCTAGCATCCTGTCTTGTGTTCTGTTGTCCAGATACTGCCCCCCCCCCAATTATCCAACTCTGAACTTTTTCAACTTGCTTTTAAAATAATTACAGGTTGCTGCATGTCAAATATAAAGCCCCCAATGTAAAACGCATTTTTTTGTTGTTCCCTCAACAAGTGTATTTTTATGCCGAGTGGCACAAACAGGCAGTTAGCGGTTGCCCGAGCAGGAAGCGCTTGACACAAATACCAGACGGAGACAAATGTCCATTTTTACACAATGTTGGGCAGACAAATGAAACAGCCAGCGATTCCAGGCTAGCCCACTAGCGTCATGTTAACCTCCGCGCTCTGAGAAAGGGCAGCTGTAGCTGTTTATGTGACCCCATAAAACAACCCTCCCACATTTCCTGCCCGGATAATCCCATTTAAGATGAAAGCAGGAGGCCCTGACAACAAGTCTCGGTACTTTACGGCAATCCATCTTGTTGTTTTCAACAACAGACTAGAGGGGCAGCAGTATTAATAAAAACACACGTGGGAAATTACTTGAATGTTGAGCGCGTTTGGTTTCAAGTTGCCTTTACAAGAAATCAATGAGGAACCGTAAGACTGCTTTGCGAGGAACCTGTTGGTTGTTAATTGCCTAAAACAGGGTCTCTTATTTGATCCAGTCCTCCAGGCAATTTGAAAACCAAATAAAACCTCAGAGGAACTGTAATAAAAGACCCCAAGCCCCGCAAATGCTAATGAATAAATTCAGTCAAAATATGTGGACAAGCACTACAGAAAATGAATACATGGATCATTCTTTTTCTTTATATAATTTTTTTTTCCCCCATAAATTTAGGCAGCGTGACTTTTACTTCAGTTACAATAGTTGAATCGGTAATTCGGCTTAAGTCCAGAGTTTGTTTGCCGCCCCTGGAAATCACCTTTAAAAAGCTTCAGCAGATCACTCACCGTAGTTCCTGATAAGCATCGGTGCTCTGCGATTAAATGTCCACTGCAGATGTACAAGTCCACATGTGCAAAGAGTGACATGTCATTGTTCCCCCGCAGGAAAGCAGTGAGATGACACCAGCCGCCACAAAAGAGATGATATCGCTGCTCCAAGAGTTCTAACATCCACTCCCACTCATCTTCAGTGGGAGGACACCTAGTCAATTCCACTCCTGATGAAACTCAAGTCCTTCCTTCTAAGCCCTCGTGTAGTTCCCTGCAGGTACGAACGCACACAAAGCCACTCCGCTTGCTTCCAAGTTGCTGGCCCGTTGCTGATCAGAATGAGGTGATGTGTGCGCTCACCGCTCGTTGCAAAACACACCACCCGTCTGTTCACTGGAGAGCCAGGAGGGTGGAACAGGAAATAGCTTGTCGACTGTTTTGGGCACCGGGCCCCGCTGCTGACGCTTGCCGGGGGGGGGGGGGGGGGGGGGGATCATGGATTAATTGAGCTCTTTGTATTTTAATCGAGGAAGGGAGAGAAAAAAAGCTGTGCTGTCCCAGGATGTATTATCCAAGCCTGGAGTAGCTCAGACGAGCAGGTGGTGCTTGTTGATTAAATGTGGGAGATGATTTAGAACATGTACTCCAGAAGGGATCCTAATTACAGCCCCGAAATGGAATCGTTTTCAACTTTACTTAATGCTGCATCACACTTTTTGTACTTTTTTTGATTCAAACATTCTGTGTGGGAGTGTCTGGCTGTGAGCCGTGGTCTACAGCAGCTCCTGTAAGAGAGTGCAATCAGCCCCCGTCAGGGACTTGCCCCCCTCCCGGGTCCCACACCCAGTACGACTCTCGCTGGTGCCTCACGAGGTTCACCCCCCCAAGTGAGGGCACAACAAGCACACTGTAAAAATCTAAAAAAGAAAAAAAATTAAATTAAGCAGCAGCAGTGTAGTAGTAGCAGCATACTGGACAGTCTGGAGACTCTTTAACAGCAGCCTGACAATCCATTTTTAGCTGGACATTGTATTGGATCTCATTTGATTTTTTTTTTTGTTTTTGTTTTTGTGGTGAGTGTTTTTGTGGAAGAGTATGAGGAGATTCAGGGATTGTTTACGTGATTGAGCCTGTGTCAAGTTCTATTCTGAGTTGAGCAACGCGGTTGATGTGGTTCGGCATCAACCGTAAGCTTTCATTATGTGGCCTTTTTGTCATTTGCACAATCTCAAGGTTAGTTTGAAAGTAAACAGCCAGAAGGAAGGTGTGGGGGGGGGGGGGAGATGTATGTAAGTAGAAGCACACACATTTTTTGGACGCATAATGCCCTCGATTTAAGTTTTGAAATGACATCTTTCGAGCCGGGGGTTGATGTGTCCCAGCTGCATCTGTGTTTTGTCAGGGCCTGCCCTCTTCCTGACACCCGGCAGGAATAACATCACCCTTCTTGCAAATTCCTCAAATTCCCATTCATACTTGGGTATTGGGAGGACGTTGCGACCAGCAGTTTCCAAGGGAAACACTCTCTTCCTTTCACCGGGCTGCTACCGCTCCTTTTCCATGGGGCCCATCTCGCGAATTGGATGCAGCTGGAGTGACTGACAAGTCAACTATGCACTCAGCTGGAATGTCAGTGAAAATTCCAAGCTGTAGAAACCCAACTGCTTATTTGTTTTTTTTTTTTTTGTCGCGCACCAGAGTGGCAACCACCGTGACGAATGTTTTCCTTGGTGTGCGGGCGCTCGCCAAACGATTTCGCGGACAGACGGGCTCTGTGGCGCACGCCGGCAAACGCTTAATGTCCGTGAGCGAGAGCAAAATGGTGGACACGCCCATCCTCTCTCCTCATTGTAATATTTCCACTTTGGATTCACAAAGGGCTTTTGTGACGTCATAAGAAAAACTTTCCTACTTCATTTACATTTTAACCATATGGTACATTCAAACTATTCATGGGTCTGGATGATTAATTATTAAAAACAACATAAAATGGATATAAAAAGTCTACACAGCAGACACGATTTAAAGTGTCTCTGATTAACCCTCCACAGATGTTCTTGTAGGCTTTCTAAGAGAAGTTTTGTATTAACAATGCACTGTTCGTAATTCTTTCCACTTCCTTCGTAGCGCCTATTCGCCATTATGCTTCACTGTAGGTCTGGTGAGCTTCAAGAAGAGCCTACTAGAACATCCGAACTTTAGTTAGGCACTTAAAATGTTGGCAGATGTGTGCTGGCTCCCTTTGAACATGAGTTGGAATGTGATTGGCCAGTTCGAAACATGACCACATTCCAGTTATTAAAGGGTGTGCACACATGTGCAACCACATCGTCACAGTTGTTGATTTTTACTTTCCCTTTCCAAATGATATATTTTTTTTTCAATTGACTTGTACAGGTAATCGGTCACATGTTACAAAAATCTGGCAAGGGTACACTTCATATCGGGTGTACCACATATATTAAAATAATTTCAAGGAGTGTTATTTTGAAATATTTTTTACGAGAGTTTTAAACTCAGCTGTAATGGGTCAATTTGACCACACAATCTAACGGGAGGGCTAAACATCCAATTATTAACTGACATACGCATTGAAGCACATCTGTCAGACTTTAAAGAGCTAATTAAAAAAAAAATCCATCATTCACGATCAGTAAGGCTTTATTTTCAGTCATGATAGGTAAAGCCACAACATCAGAAAAACAAAACACTACAACAGCTCCATGTCGTTGGGACGGAGTTCAATTAATTTGTCTTCTTGCCGTACTCCTTCCTGCCGCCTCCTTCTTTGGCAAAATTGCGGACACGGTGGATCTTCGCCAACTGACCCTGTATAGTCTTCATGATGTCCATGTGGTCAGGGATATGAACATAGCGGATGTTTCTACCGGTGATGAAGAGATCCTGCAGCTTCGTGAGGCGCCCCTTGGGGTCACGATAGAGCACCTCCTCCAAGCGTACGTTCATGAACGCATCCACGTTGATCACCCGGCCCCGTGCTGTGCTCTCGTTCCTCAGGTCCACTGTGGTCACCTCGCCCCGCAGGCCCTGCAGGAGCACCACCATGCTGTTCTCCGCGATGGTGCGCTCCCGAATGGAGCTGAAACTCTCCGCTTGGCTTGACAGCGGGGCCTCAGTGCTCTCTGACTCCATGACCGCCTGCAAGAAGGTTCGAGGTTTGATAAGTTCTATGATTTAGCACCAGTGGGACGCGTAAACACTTCTTGAACCAAACAGCACGAGAATAGCCAGATCAACTTCCCTGGACATAGTGATTAGCTGTCGAGCATCCACTACTGGGCTTTACACTGACAGAAGCTCTCATCTCATTACCATCCTAAATTGTAATGTTGGCTGGATTAAACACCTGTTAGGAATTTTGCCGTTCAGCTCATCATTCGAGAACAGCAAGTTCTGCAAAAAGTACTGAGACGTTTAAAATTTTAGCTTGTGCATTCAAAAATTTAGGTGAGGTCAAGGGAATTAATGTATTGAGTACACTGGGAAGTAAATAAATATTTATGTGCCGTACAGTTTTAATTGATTTATTTAAATACATTATAACACATATTTTTCCTATATTTAAACGAAATGTTAATGTTCAAACTGGACATAATGTCACAGTGGCTTGCAATAAATACACTTTTTAGGACGAAAATCTCGGTCGCGTTTTTTGGCCTTCTGGTTATTGTATTTTATTGTTGATCATATGATGGCTGTAATGGAAAGCTTCGTAGATTTTTAGTTGTTACTTGGTTTAAAAAGTTCGAGAAACGCCGCAAAAAAAAACGTTTTTCTGCACGGTTTTTCGGTGATTGAAATCATGCAACGAAAAGGTCAACAAAGAAATGACTATTTTGTCGATCGATGTATGTTCAATATGGAAGATTTACCTTCGGTTTTAATCCATTTGAAAAATACCAACGCCTTCGCGGGAGAATGCAAAACACTTCCGGATACAGAAGACGTAACGTGATGACGTTTGATACTTTTGTTCAGACGAGACAACACTGCCCCCTGCAGGCTACTAGCAGAATCTCGGTGGATCGGTGTTTAAAATAAACAATATTGCGTATTTATTAATTTTCCAAAGGAAGTAATAAAAAAAACAATAATCCACAATCAATATTTTATTATTTAAAAAGAATAGTGTGGACTGCAATAAATTAGAACTTTCTTTAAATAATTTATGTAATCATGTGTTTAGCTGGGATACACTCCAGTGAAGTGTGGTTTGATGCCACAATTAACATGTTACAAGGGTCCAAGGTCATCCATCATAGCCAGCAGATCATCTCCCTTATTGCTATTCACATTATTTGATGTCTCCTCTTGTTCAACAAAAAGTTTGGCGATTTGAGCCAGCTGAGTTGTGGAATGTTCATCCTGGAAAAAAAAAAAAAAAAAAAATCAATCATGTGGCAGTTCGAGAAACCCGCGAAGGATATCCATATTTACCTTCAGGGCTTGTATATTTATCACTTCAAATGACTCATCGGCTCCACCTGAAGCTCCCCTATTCAATAAAATAAAATACAAAATATGATGGATAAATGACGCTACCTCTGTGGGGTTTGCATGTTCTCCCTGTGCCTGCGTGGGTTTTCTCCGGGTACTCCGGTTTCCTCCCACATTCCAAAAAATATGCATGGCAGGCAAATAGAATGCTCAAAATTGTCCCTGGGTGTGGTTGTGAGCATGTATGTTGTGTGATTGGCTGGCAACCATTTCCGGGTGTACCCCGCCAACTGCCCGAAAACAGCTGGGATAGGCTCCGGCACACCCGCGACCCTCGTGAGGATAAGCGGATTAGAAAATGGATGGATGGATAAATGACAGAAATAAAATGCATACCCTTCCTCCTCTTCTTGGGCTGAGGCAAGCAAGTTGATCTGAAAGCCAGTTTCACAACCGGACGCGTTCTCAATCTCAACGGTGCCCATCAGACAGGCCAGCAAATTGAGCTCTTCTTTCGCCAATGGGTTGGGAGAAGCATCCATCTGTGGCATCATGAAGGTAAGAAAGACATTTATAGTAGAAAGACGGGTCCAAAAAAATGCTAATATTGAGCACAGGTATCAAACTCGAGTGTGTTGACTTCTTTTCAGAAGTATCCATACGATATTGATCAAGGGCGGCACATACAGGATTCTATGAATGTAATGTAATGTAGAATGACATATTCCGAGTAAAGTTTTACTGTTACAATACCTTCACTGAGGGAACTTTGGATGATTCCCCTCTGAGATTTACGTTGTACCTTTAGTTAATAAAACACAGCAAAAGAAAAAAAAAGTGTTAGCCACACATGGATTTAAAAAAAAAAAAAGACAATTAAACATGGCCAGAGGTGCACAACATGTTCACGCCCAATTTGATGACTCGGTCCCCATGCAGGCCAAATGATGCATCTTTCGTCGGGTGGCTGTAACTTCCCCCCGATGCGAAGCGCCTCTGTCGCATTTCTCGTCCCTTCCTGTCAAATATCCTACATAGACATGATGGAGGCGATGCGTTTTTGGATTAAATGGTCCAAAGGAATGTAAAGAAATTCTACAGTACAAATAATACGTTCTCACCGAATGACCCCGGGAACGTCCATTCCGTGAGGTACTGGGCCCGAGGTTGACAGGGCGAAACGCCCATTGGGATTCTGGATTTTGTTTTTGAGGAAAATGGATACCTGAATCCGTAGAGACAGTTTGTGAACGACACAGTGTTTTAATCTAATTTCTTTACAGCAATGATTTAGATTGCGAGGCACTCACGCAGATGTGCGTGTCCTGTAAGAACGTGAGCAGAGTTTGACGGAGAAGCTGGAATTCACCCGCAGTCATAGACGAGTAGATCTAGATCAGAAAGAAATCTCATGAATGTTACATACTGTCAACCGACAGCCACGGACGCAGTCGTAGTACACTATAGGGGAAATCCGCAAGTAATTGACGCCGCTCAAAAGGTTTAGAATTGCTTATAGATGCCACAAGATGCAAATGCCAACTTTTTTTTTCGAAACGAGGCTCCTCAACTCACTTCCGCATATAGCAGTTCCGTGGCACTTACTGTATAAACTCGATGTCACAAAATGGTGGCAAAGCTCGACATTTTCTGCAAATGAAACTTACAAGACTACATTGTAGACTATATTTCTATACGTTCATGCTTTTTGTGTGTGTTCAAAAAGCCGTTATTTGAAGGTTTACAGCTATCACGATGTCACAAAATGGTGGCAAAGCTCGACATTTTCCGGAAATGAAACTTACAAGACAACATTGTAGACTATATTTCTATATGTTCATGCTTTTTGTGTGTGTTCAAAAAGCCATTATTTGAAAAGTTTACAGCTATCGTAACATCTATGCTAAATTTCCTGAGGCAATCTTTCAAATTGTATATATTAGCATTAAGCTAGTGGTCTTCCGTTACCCAAAATTAAATGGTTTGGTCGAACGTTTGGCTGTTTACGTTTGATTCCTCGAAGTTTAATGTGTCACTTTCACAGTAAACGCTAACAGGGAGCTTGAAGCAAGCACACTTCACCTCTTTTTAGAAAAGTTCAAGTGAAAACAAGCATTAAGAAATACCTTCAAAATTGTGTTTTAATCAGTCTGGATGTGTTTTGATAAGAATAAATTTGTTTTGTCCTCTCTGTCGCAGATTTTCAACTATTCCAGCCGGCAGCAAATGGGTCTCGAATATTTTCTGGATTGACTGGATCAGGTCTACCTCGATGATCTTTCTGTGAGTCTCGTCCACTTTGTTGAGAACTGCCGGGGTGTCTTTCACAAATCCCCTGATGGTGTCGATGTGATTGTACGAGATGAGCAGCAAGTCCTTCGGGCGTGGACAGAGGAAGACTTGATACTTGAAGGCCATGAGCATCAGCTCGTAGAGCTGTTTGAAAATAGACCAAACGTATGTTTATCCTGGGAAGTGTGCATTTCTTTCCCCATTCTACTTGTTGTTCATTTGTGTTCATGGTCGGTTTTCATCGCCCCTGTCAAAGATGAATTTCTTTGAAGAGCGTGTTCATGATTGTCATCTCGCCTTGGTGTTCCGTTACCTTCTCCATGCTGACCGCATTCAACTTCATGATCGAGACGTGCGCCAAGCGAGTCAGGACGACTTTCATCGTCCTGTGTGAATACAACAGCTGAGGTTTCAGAATTTCATCCATGAAGGCTTGACTGAACATGGTCCCGACGATGTCGTTCATCACTGTCAATGGGGAGGGATGGAAACACAGAAGTTGATCATCTCTCGGTGATGGCAAAACTGAACATGGGATACTTTGCTATATTGAAGGCAGTGTGACGGAATGCACTCATACGACACCATTTTACGGACTCCTAAGCTAAAGCTAGTGAACCCCTGCTTTAGCGTATTGCCTGTACCTCTTTTTCTGTCATTTTCAGACCACACTCCTGCAGCTTTCCAAAGAAAAAGACAAAAGAAAAACAATTATACAATTAAAAAAAATTGCTAAAAACATCTCGCATACATTATAACAGCGCCAAGAGTGAAAAACTGTCAGAAGTTTTCAACCTACCCTTCTCAGACTTGTCCTCAGAAGTGCTGTGAGCGTGCAGGCGCTGGTCCAGTATGTAAAGCATCTCCCCACCAAGGTTAATAAAAACCAGGGGGAGAGTTCTCATTGACATCCTGCAAAATCAGTCTGGCTACAGACAATTCAACTACTTGAACGTCAGATCTCTTTTTAAGGACATGTTTTCTGTAGCAGGCTGCTGCTTTTTTCCCTCCACACTCTTCTCTAAGCATGCCTCTGCAGAAAACCTTTAAGATGGAACAGGTGGTCAGGATGAGGATCAGCCACAGCCTCGCTCATCCTCATTGGCCGGTGTGCAATGACCACATATCCTGGCTATGACCTAATGCGATGCAATTAGGTTGAAATTTTGATTGGGGGGGGAAAGAAAATGTTGATGGCTGGTATTGTCTTATCAGTTAAGTTTAACATTGTTTATATACCAGTGCCTTTTGTCGACTGGAAGCCATATTTAGTTAACCCCACTGTCTAAAAATACATATTAACTAACCAGATCGTAGTACTAAAACTGTAATATCCCAAACATTAGTTGACATGTTTTTGTTTGGTTTTGTTTTACGTGTACGATCCTGCAGTTCTCGTTCTTGTCGATAGGGGGCAGGCAATCCTCAGTGGAGATCATTCCGTTGCGATTTGAGTGCAAGATTGGGGAAACAAAAACTGTCCTTTCAGCACAAAGCAAATCAATTGGATCACTTTCGTCTTCGGAGAAAGGCTTCTTGGAGTTTGACGAGGAAAAAAAAATTCACAGATCTCGTGTGCACTTTCCAGGGCTCGTCTCAAAAGGTTAGTCTGTCTGTTTGTTAAACAGATGAGGTTTTTAAGTATTTATTATTTGTCAACGTGTACCTACCGTTTGCTTCTGTTTTATCTGACAAAAGAAATGGCGAAAAAAGATTCCGCGTGAGTCTCCTGCTCTTCTTTGATCACGTTAGTCTCGATATGATCTTGTTCGAAGGAACAGACTTACTGGCCCCTTCATTAGGTACACCTGCCCGGTATTAAGATATAAGAACTATAAAATAGGTGTCCGGTTTTTGGCACCGTTAGAGATGTAGCTCTCTAACACTAACTGCGTCTGTCGAAGAGAAGATATTTTGTAGAGATTCGAATCAGTTTTCCACTTGGATGACTTAGTCATTAATGTTGCCGTTGCTGAAGGAAACTGCAGCAATTCTTGAGATTATTACTTACGAACTGAGCACAGTAAAAAAAATGTTTGGTAAAAATACATTATCGATTAATTTCAGTGGAAAAAATGGAAACATATCAGTCAAAGTATAAATGCAGCAAAAATAAGTTGTACATTAGATGAATTAAATTACATTGGATTTCTTCACCACGCAAACCCATTGCAAGAGAGTCAGAATCTTCTGATGGGGCATATCAGGATTATTATTTGTATTTTTTGGGGGGAAGATAGATTTGATTGATTTCTTTATTTGTATTTGAGGGCAAAATCTCATTTAACTTCAAGTGCTCACACGCACCAACGAAATGCTTTCGTGTTTCCCCTCTGTGGTGTGAAAATGTGGAGCAGACGAAATGCAAATCTTCAACGTCCAAGCATAAACCAGTCCTCGAAGAAATGCAAAAAAAAAAAAAAAATGAAGGTCTCTTGTTTATGATTGACATGCGTATTAATTATTTGAATAGCTTATTGCTAAAGCTAGTGTATATTAGGGCTAACTACTTATTGGGACCATACTGTAGCTACGGGTCAGAAAATGTACTGAATATTAGAATATTCTGTGTATGTCTTGATAGAAGTATGTAAATTCATAATGGATACAGATAAGGTGGAAGGCGAACATAAGATTAGACATCTTCCGTCTTCTTTTTGAACATGTTATGATCAGCTATTCATGATCTATGTTTGTGTTACGAGATTTATGTCATGTTTTTTTTTCCATAAATAACGAAGATAAATATTCTTGTATTGCAAATAAATGTTCCGCTGTGTTTTTTTTTTTCCCCCAACAGGTAGGAATGAACAGGCTGCACCCATGAAACGAGGATGATCGTTTAAATTACGCATCAGTGGACTCCACTCCCCAATTGTCAGAAAGCAATTCAACCTGATGGGTCCTCTCATCTCGTCCTGCCTGTGACACGATGGAGCCCACTGGGTTTACGCCTTCTCCAGACGAGTCTGACCCCTCTCCGAGCCATCAGCACCTCGAGGCCCAGCTGGACTTCTTCCACAAGCTGGGCTACTCCACGGCGCAAGTCAAAGTTGTGCTGAAGAAGTACGGCCCCGAAACAGACAGAAATCAAGTTCTCGGAGAGCTGGTTCGGATGAAAGCTGACCCGAGTTTCTGGCAGGAGCCCCTCACCACCTTGTCGATACCGTTGACCCAAGATACCATCCCGTCCACGGAGTCCACCGGGACGTCACCGCTTGGTTCTCCAACCAGAAAGGACGGCGGCGATGATAAAGACGCTCTGAGGCCCATTGTCATCGATGGGAGTAACGTAGCCATGAGGTGAGAACTTAATTGTTATTGGCAAATTGTCAAGCGTGATTCCGAAATGTGAAATAAAGCAAATATGATCTTAACCCTTTGAGGGACAGCGGTGACTACAGTGGACAGTTTATCGTGTTGTCAGGTTACAGGGTGCGTGAAAGGGTTCATTTAGCTTCTGTCAAGTGGCACTTTAGTGCTTTGCAATTCCCTTTATATGGTTCATTGGCTATTGTTACCACTTGGAGAAATTGACTTATGAAAACATTGAAAAATGAAACGACTTATGCCACATCCACACTGAGTTTCCGCTTCACAATGCAATGTTTCTCATTTGTGGAGGTGATACGGCTCCCTCAGACACCTCTTCGACTTCCCCACGAAACCTCGTGTTGACTCTTTTCACACTCATTCACGCAAACGTCCTTGACTCAAAGTTCATCGGCAAGCAAGTATGGAGTTCAAGCAAAAACAAAAAAAAAAAGGCTTTCGGTGCACTTGAATCCAATTCCGAATGATTGTCGTTGTCGTGAAGAAGACAACAAATGGAAAAGGTGTTTTTATGCCTGATTTGAAAGCGACAATGAATTGTGTTTTCTACATGCGCTCACTCACATGCCAACCTATTTGTGGTCGTGTGTGTGTGTGTGTGTGTGTGTGTGTGTGTGCGTGTGTGTGTGTGTAACCGACTGTGTTCTAGAGTAGGATCGTAAACAAAACACTGATTGATTCTAAAAGACTCACTGGTGAATTCAAATTCATTTTTTTTCTCCATTTTTAAAAAATTACATTCTACTGTTTACTAACCCCAAAAAAAAAGAAGCGCTGAAACAATAACCCTTTGGCTAATAGCATTAACGCTTTCCTGCACCCTGTAACCTGATAACACGATAAGCTGTCCACTGTAGTGACCGCTGCCCCTGAAAGGGTTTATAAAAACTTTTTAATCCTCCACCATGGAAAAAGATATACTCCTCGTGCTTGTAAGGGTCGTAACGAAGAGGTGAGTTCATCTCACCATGTGTACCGTGCTAACTCGTGATCATAAAATAATACCGTGATGAGCGGTTACACAACGCTGCCATCTCTCGCCTTATGCAATCTTGAAAGCCAGAGTCTCGACTTCCACAAAGTCATTTAAAGTTCTCCAATGTTTTGCATATACAGCGCCTGAGGAATGACGACCGAGTACACGCTTGCCCTTTATTTTACCCATTATGTGGCTTTGCATGCATGGGTGTGTGTCAGGCATGTCTGTGCAGGTAAGAGAGTCGAAGCTTGAATATGCAAATCAGCGCAGAGATTTCTCAGGAACCAGCCGGACTGCATTCTATTGTCTGGCCAAATAAGTACTTGGCTTGCTTTTGTGCTGACATTTTCAAAAAAAAAAAAAAAAAAGTGTGATCCAGAACTGTTACCTGTAGTTATCATACCAGACATCTGAAATGATCTTGGGCACAACCCAAATACGTTGGTGCCTTGAGATACTACTTTAAATAGTTTCGTTACCATGGTTGAGACTCGGTGCAAATGGATCTCAACAGTCAACAAATCCCAATTTTTTTTTTCCCAAGCTAACAAATTGAACTTGTAATCTTACATTATGCGTCAATAATTATGCCCAATGAACCTACAACCGCTGCTTTTTGTTGGCGTAAAAAGGAGGATTACAGGATATGACAAAAAAAAAAAATGCTATCGGTGATCCAGTGGTTAGCACGTCGACCTCACAGTGCAAAGGTTCAATTCCCGCTTCGGCCTCCCTGTGTGGAGTTTGCATGTTCTCCCCGGGCCGGCGTGGATTTTCTCCGGGTACTCCGGTTTCCTCCCACATTCCAAAAACATGCACGGCAGGCTGATTGAACACTCTACAATTTAGAGTCTAAATTGTCCCGCGGTGTGAGTGTGAGCGCGGATGGTTGTTCGTCTCTGTGTGCCCTGCGATTGGCTGGTAACCGGTTCAGGGTGTCCCCCGCCTACTGCCCCAAGATGGCTGGGATAGGCTCCAGTACCCCCCGCGACCCTTGCGAGGATAAAGCAGATTGGAAAATGGATGGAAAAATTTGTCTATGTTGGAATAGTGCTTCCTGTTGCGTTCTTCTTATTTCACATTTACACCTGCTGTGTGCCCCCCATCTAGTGGTGGAAAGTGCAATTACATCCGATACAAACAAGCGTCAGACCGAAATAGTAATAAAACTGGAATATCCCAAACTGCGAAATAAACCCGTAGCCCGCGATAGAGGTGGGCTTTATTCTACTTAACTACGTTTAGAATTTCTTTTGTACCTGTATATGAAAAAGCAAATCGTGGGGAGTCTGACACAGAAAGGCAGCACACCCAATGACTGCAACCGGTAGCCTCCGAAATATCTTTGTGTGTGTGTGTGCGTGTGTGTGTGTGTGTGTGTGTGTGTGTGTGTGTGTGTGTGTGTGTGTGTGTGTGTGTGTGATTTTAATCTCTTCCCATGTGAAATTTCGAGCACAAAAATCAGAAATGGGTTGCGCGCTGCAATTTTTATGAAGGTGTGGCATGCCTGACCTTCATTCTGAACAAACTGAATTGTTGTTTTTTTTTTTTTTTTTTTTTTTTTTTTTCTAATCAGCCATGGGAACAAGGAAGTGTTCTCTTGTATGGGGATCCAGTTGGCAGTCGATTTTTTCTTGGAGCGAGGCCACACAGCTGTCACCGTGTTTGTTCCCTCCTGGAGGAAAGAGCAGCCAAGACCCGATGTTCCAATTTCAGGTAAGACGATGGGAGATCGTTTTGATTTATTGCTGCTTGTTTTTTAACCTTGTTTGGAGTAAACCCAAGATTTCATCACAGTGGAACAAACCACCTCTCCTATGCTGGCAGCTGTATCGAGGTGCATATTGAATCGTCCATTATGAAGAGATATACTGTATCTTTGAAGCCAATGTCAAGCAGTAAAAAAAGTGGCCCTTTAATGCAGTTGTCGTTTCCATTTCGATATTAATCCAAATACATGTTTATTACTTTTCCCCGTCTTTTCTTTTTTTTTTTCTCATGATTTATAAAGGAGTGAAGAGAAGCAGAACCTTGGCAGGGTGTTTTATTGCGAACGCGTGGTAATTGTTAGTTGTGCCCTGTTGTCGAATTATTGTTGGCACACGCATATATGTTACAAAACATGAGATGCATTGTTCTGCATCTGTTGTTTAATTGGAACAACATTGTTGCTTCCCCCGTAAGTGACTCTTGGTTTTCTGAAGATGTGAAATTAAAATATGCCGTCAAATAAAATTTCGATGAGAAAAAAAGAAAAAAAAATGGAATATTGTGAAAGTTACGCCACCAGAGAGGGTCACTTCTGCTTAGATTCTTCTTTCGTCTGACAAAAGTAGACAACAGCAAGCCCGAAACTAAACAGTTGTCACTGTTTGGAATAAATGTAAATCACGATTGACCACAACTGAATGATCAGGTTTGACCCAAAAAAATCTGATTGTGTAACGAGAGCGTTATTGGTGCTTGAAAGGCTTAAAAGTGAATGTTGAACTCGCGCAACGTTTGCTGTGCAGATCAGAAAATCCTTGCCGATCTGGAGAGGAAGAAGTACCTGACGTTCACGCCGTCGCGCCGCGTGGGGCACAAGCGGGTGGTCTGCAACGACGACAAGTTCATCGTCCAGCTGGCCTTCGACACGGGCGGCGTCATCGTGTCCAACGACGTCTACCGCGACCTGCAAGTCGACAAGCCCGAGTGGAAAAGTTGCATCGAGGAGAGGCTGCTTATGTACTCCTTTGTGAATGACAAGTGAGTTCTTCGTATCATTCAAGTCAGTGGGGGGGAAAAAAAAAAAAACACTCCACATATATTTCATTAGGTACACTTCGAGGTTCAGGATTTGCATGTTTTTCTTTGTGTGTGTGTGTGTGTGTGTGTGTGTGTGTGTGTGTGTGTGTGTGTGTGTGTGTGTGTGTGTGTGTGTGTGTGTGTGTGTGTGTG